CCCTCCTTGTTCGGGTAGGCTTCGGCATTCGTCGTCACCGGCCTACTTGCCACTGCCGCTCCATATCTCATCATTCCATTTGTCTTGTCACTTTTTTTTATTATTTTGTCCTCTGCTTTCCCTGTGGTATTAGGTATCCCTTGGTTAGCACTCCACAACCCCACCTTCTCATGGCCACAGAGGGTTCTCACGGGGTGGTCGCGAGAGTGTCAGGGTAGGTGTCTAGGTGTTTCCGTTGGTGCAACCACGGTGGAAAGTCCAGATAGTACCTCCACCGTGCGCATTCCCCCCGAATACCTCGATTTGGCGCACACGTTTTCAAAGACGCAGGCTACCAAGTTACCACCTCATCGGGCAGGGTATTGCGCAATAAACCTCCGGTGTAGACGCTATAATTCCAGGAGTCATGTGTACCCCTGTCGCAGACTGAAACGGCGGCTATGGAAACATACGTCACCGAGTCCCTGCGCCAGGGGTATATACATCCCTCCATTTCACCCGCCTCCTCGGGTTTCTTCTTTGTGAAGAAGAAAGACGGCGGTCTGCACCCTTGCATTGATTATCGACCACTGAACAAGGAGACGATCAGGTTTAGTTATCCTCTCCCCCTCATTCCGTCAGTGATCGAGTCAATGCATGGGGCGCGCTTCTTCACCAAATTAGATCTCAGGAGTGCGTACTACCTGGTGCGTGTTCGGGAGGGGGATGAGTGGAAGACAGCATTCAGCACAACCAAGGGGCATTATGAATACCTGGTGATGCCCTACGGTTTGATGAATGCTCCATCCATCTTCCAGTCCTTTGTGAACTAGGTGTTTCGGGACATGCTTGGTCGCAGAGTAGTGGTCTACATCGATGACATTCTGGTGTATTCCGCTACGCGTACCGAGCATGTGTCCCTGGTTTGCAAAGTGCTGTTGGAAAATTGCCTTTATGCCAAGGCAGAGAAGTGTATGTTTTTCCAGCAGTCCGTCTCCTTCCTCGGATACCGCATTACCACCTCAGGGGTGGAGATGGAGGGGGATCGCATTTCAGCCGTGCGTAATTGGCCGACTCCCACCACGGTTAAGGAGGTGCAGCGCTTTCTGGGCTTTGCCAACTACTATCGGAGGTTTATCCGGGGCTTTGGCAAGGTCGCAGCTCCCATTACATCTCTGTTGAAGGGTGGGCCGTCCCAGCTCCGCTGGTCTGCTGAGGCTGACCTGGCCTTCAGGAAACTGAGGGGTCTGTTCACCTCAGCCCCGGTACTGGTCCACCCCGATCCATCACTACCGTTCGTAGTGGAGGTGGATGCGTCCGAGGTAGGGATAGGCGCTGTCCTATCTCAACGCTCGGGCACGCCACCCAAGCTCTGCCCCTGTGCCTTCTTCTCTAAGAAGCTCAGCCCAGCGGAGCAGAACTACGACGTTGGTGATCGGGAGCTGTTGGCTGTTGTCCGAGCTTTGACCGTGTGGAGGTATTGGCTCGAGGGGGCAAAACACCCTTTCCTCATCTGGACAGACCACCGTAACCTGGAGTACATCCAGGCAGCGAGGAGGCTGAATCCTCGCCAGGCCAGGTGGGCCCTATTCTTCACCCGGTTCGATTTTACACTGTCATACATCCCAGGTACGAAGAACGTGAATGCAGACGCATTGTCACGGCTGTATGACACAGAGGAGAGGCCCAGAGACAACACCCCCATACTCCCGGCTTCCTGTATTGTGGCGCCGGTAGTATGGGCGATGGACGCGGATATAGAGCAGGCATTACGCACAGATCCATCTCCACCTCAGTGTCCAGCTGGGCTGCGGTACGTGCCTGCTCTTATCCGTGATCGTCTGATCTACTGGGCACACACGTCACCCTCCTCTGGTCACCCAGGTATCGGTCGTACAGTGCGCTGCCTGACCAGAAAGTACTGGTGGCCTACCTTGGCTAAGGACGTGAGGGTGTATGTCTCCTCCTGCTCGGTGTGCGCCCAGAGTAAGGCACCTAGGCACTTCCCAGCGAGTAAGTTACAACCTTTACCAATTCCACAACGACCATGGTCTCATCTAAGTGTTGATTTCCTGACTGATCTTCCCCTCTCCCAAGGTAACACCACCATCCTGGTTGTTGTGGACCGCTTTTCCAAGGCTTGCCGCCTCCTTCCACTGCCCGGTCTCCCCACGTCCCTGCAAACTGCGGAAGCCCTGTTTACACACGTCTTCCAGCACTACGGGGTACCAGAGGATATAGTGTCTGACCGAGGTCCCCAGTTCACATCCAAGGTCTGGAAGGCGTTCATGGAACGTCTGGGGGTCTAGGTCAGCCTGACCTCTGGGTTCCACCCCGAGTCTAATGGGCAGGTGGAACGGGTAAATCAGGATGTGGGTAGGTTCCTGCGGTCCTACTGCCAGGACCGGCCGGGGGAGTGGTTGGTGTTCTTGCCATGGGCCAAATGTGCCCAGAACTCTCTCCAGCACTCCTCCACTAACCACATTTCAATGTGTGTTGGGTTACCAACCGGTTCTGGCACCGTGGCACCAGAGCCAGTCCGAGGCTCCTGCGGTGGATGACTGGTTTCGGCGTGCGGAGGAGACGTGGAACGCTGCCCACGTCCACCTCCAACGCGCTGTGCGTCGTCAGTAGGCCAACGCTGACCGCCACCGCAGTGAGGACCCGGTCTTCGTACCGGGTGATCGGGTCTGGCTCTCGACCCGGAATCTGCCCCTCCGCCTGCCCTGCCGGAAGCTGAGCCCGCGGTTTGTGGGGTCATTTAAAGTCCTGAGGAGAATCAACGAGGTCACCTATAGGTTATTACTTCCCCCCGATTACCGTATTAACACCTCGTTTCATGTGTCTCTCCTCAGGCCGGTGGTGGCTGGTCCGCTCCAGGAGTCTGAGGTGCGGGAGGTCCCTCCGCCTCCTCTGGACATCGAGGGGGCCCCGGCGTACTCCGTCCGGTCCATCCTGGATTCGAGGTGTCGGTGGGGGAGGGGTAAGGTCCGGAGGAACGGTGCTGGGTCCCAGTGAGGGATATCCTCGATCCCTCCCTGTTTCGGGATTTCCACCGTCACCATCCGGCTCGCCCTGCTCCGCGTCCTCCTGGCTGTCCCCGAGGCTGGGGTCGGCGCACTGCCGCTCCATATCTCATCATTCCATTTGTCTTGTCATTAGTACATGTATAAGTGTTCCATCTGCCCCCCTTGTCCTTGTGGGTGATTGTTATTTGTGAGTTGAGTGTAGCTCGGTTGAGCTACCCGTATCTTGTATTTCCGGGGATATTGTTCCCCATGTGCCTGTATTTTGTTGACGCTATCCAGCGTAACTGTGTCCTACGGAATAAACTCTGTATTCAGTGATTTACCCTCCTGCGCCTGACTCCTTCAAATCACACTCTCACAGCTGATAATGGGCCTCTGTACGCCTATGTAGATATTCCAATAAAAATCAGCCGTTTCCAGCTACAATAGCCATTTACAACATTAACAATGTCTACACTGTATTTCTGATCAATTTGATGTTAATTTAATGGACAAAAAATGCTTTTCTTTCGAAAACAAGGACATTTCTAAGTGCCCCCAAACTTTTGAATGGTAGTGTATGTATATATAATATATAGACCTGAGGCATACAATATATTAGTATAGTCTATGTGTCTTATTGCCCATTGATCCACATATTTCATTATTGTGATTGTGTTCCCCATACTCTATATAATATATATATGTTTATAGATATGTGTTGTGTATTGATGCAGTGCTCACCCCCTGCTAAAATAAAGGTTAAATAAAATAAGTAATCGTAAACAGGGGTTCTAACAGATTTTTTTCCCACAATAGTGATAGAGAGTACCATGACCTGTGGGAGCAAACTTCAAAAATGCCACATTTGTCCTCCATCCCCCACTCATTCAAATGTAGGAACTGGCTTCTCCAGTCTGACCCCACTGCTGTCTCTGGCTACACACCCACCCCGCCCGGCCATCTAGAGGTCTGAAGGTTAGTACCTTTTATGTAGGGAAGCAATTGATCCATCATGTATGACATTCCTGGGAGTGTGTAAACTTAATATTTTATTACCATAGCATTTTAGTATGTTCTCTATAGTTATGTACTTGGAAATGTATCAATTGACCAATTCGGCCACTTGGGTACATTTGGGAAAACTTGTGAGGGACACCTGGGAGACTTGATACAAAATATTATGTAGAGCTCTCATTCTTCAATGTATCAGTCTGAAACTTTGCACACACACTGCTACCCTCTTGTGGACAACATCTAAATTACACCCAGATTCGTAGGTCATTGAATGGCTTTTCTTTTGCATTTCAAAGATGATGCAAAAAAATAAATGAAAACGCATGTTTTTTTGTTTGTTTTATCTTTTACCAGATCTAATGTGTTATGTTCGCCTACATTAATTTCACATTTCCACAAACTTCGAAGTGTTTCCTTTCAAATAGTATCAAGAATATGCAAATCCTTGCTTCAGGTCCTGAGCTACAGGCAGTTTGGGTATGTCATTTTAGGCGGAAAATGAAATCAAGGTCCGGATCCTTAAGAGGTTGTTCTTAACTGACTTGCCTAGTTAAATAAAGGTTAAATAAATAAATAAAAATGTAACTCCTGAATCAACACTAAAAATGTTACACTAGGTAACACTGGACAATTTGCTGTGTAACAAAAGAGCTCTACTATGATGAAAGACCAACACCTCATCAAATAATTCATGCCTTTTAGGCCAAAACTACACAACAATGAAAATAGGCTTAAGATGGATAGCGGTAGTGCTTTTCACTGGGTTGGACTGAATGGCGTGACAGACCACCCATGCAAACAAATAAAGACTGCTTCCTGCCCTTAGGGTGGATGCACTTTGGAGTGCTTCTCTCAATCATGTGCAGCCAGTCATAGCTTTTTATGTCAGATAACGGTTTTGACTGGATGGGATGCAGCTAATGTCAGGAGTGACTTTTCGTAGCAGGTTTGGAGAACTTACGCAGCAGGTTAGGATAATTAATGTAGCAGGTTAGGAGAATTAGGTTAAGGTTAGGAAAATAGTTAGGGTTAGCTGAAATGCAAAAATTCTCCCTGATGCGACTCCAACATGCAACTTTTGACGTCACTTTACATTAGCTGCATCCCATCTAGCCATGACCATAAATTACCGGCCCGATTCCTCCTTGTCTGGTCTCAGCTCAAGTGAGCTGAAATCTAATGCTGTATTTAAAAGATCTATTCATTTCCAAGAGAGGAGGTTTAAGTGGTAGAAGAATGTAGCACTGGCTGCAGAACATGCATTTTTATTTATTGAACATAATCCAATGATTGGAGGGTGTCACAACTTGACATAAAGCATATTGGCGAAATAAATTATGAAAACGTTAGATAAATGATATGTACATCTTTAGATAATCTAAAAAAGTTCATTGCATATGTTAATAGTTTTAAGGGCTAGTCTCACTGCCATAGATTGTAAGGCTGGGATTTTTCTTTTTTATACGTTAATGTCAAGTGCAGTGAAATGTTGGCACAGTGCGGTTTGTTTGAGTTTACTTGTGTAATAGATAACATTTAGTCCATATCTTGCTGGAGACGTGCAGGTAGCTCCTCCAGGGTCTTTAATCGATGCTGTGGGGGAACATCAGGGTATTTATCCCTGCCCTGTCTGTCCAACAAGTACCCATGGAGGCCCAGCGACCGAGAGGTCACGTAGTCATAGACATAATGGTCCCCAATGTGAGCTACACTCGCGGCTGTTACGCCACATTTCTCTAGTGCCTGGTGGAAGATTGCTGGGTCAGGCTTGGCTATCCCGGCCTCCTCTGAGGTGAGCAGGAAGCTGAAGTGAGACAGCAAGCCACAGCCTCGTAGAATCCCCTCCAGGCGATTGTCGAAGTTGGACACCACACCCTGCTTCAGTCCCAGGGAGGAGATGCTCTCCAGGGTCTTCGCTGAGTCTGGAAATACCTTAGGACGGAAGATACAGGCTATTCATTTCACAATGTGGCACAATTGTTCAATTGATAGATATTGAGGATGGTTTACAATAAACAAATGTTAATGAATGCATGTAGGTATACATGATAATTTTGCTCAATCATAATATCACATTTTTGGAGATGTTACATGAATTACACAACATACTGTGATGCTGACAAAAACCATTTCTGAATGACAGTACAATTACTATAATCCCCTCACCTCCCAGTTATCAGGGCTGCAGAAACCATGATACAAGTTGTGGGCCAGTGTGTCCAGTAGGGCTGCGTCCTGTACTCTACACTGGGAGAAGGTGTCCCGGACCACCCCCATCCACCAGGCCTTCCCCCCCAGGCCCTGGGCCGTACCGTAGTTGGGGTAGAGTTTGGAGTACTGGCGGAAGGACTGGTGGAAGGCAGCCTCTACCTCTGTAGGGTTAAGACTGAAACCTGCTGTTCGTTTGGCCTCCTGGCAGTACTGCTCCCCGACAGACCTGTGCACCTTCAGCAGGGTCTCTTTCACATCCCACAGCACCCAGCGCAGTGGCACACGCATCACACCTGCCACAGAAATCCACAAATCCACATGCATCTCATGTTGTAGATGTAGCGGAGATGGAGGAAATCGGGAAAAGTATGAAAATGGGTAGGCTACCTTCACTGCATTGACAAACAATAAAATTCCACAAAATAGCTAAGGCTGCAAAATAAAGCACAAAAAAGCTCTGGAAGGTGCAAAGTTCAGATACTGTTTTATTTCTAACTGAATGATCCCACAGTGATATTCACAGATTTCTTTGTTAGCTGTTCAATGATAACAACACGTAGTGGTGCCTGGAGAAGTGAGTATACTCGAATTGAGAAAAATTAAATCCCAAACAGCCTGCCCGATGAAGGAAAGGTGCCCTGTGTGAAAATGTCTATGAGAAACAGTGACGTACACTCTGAATTACCTACAATTATAAACCCAAACTGTACTGTCCAAGTAGGCCTACTAGTGAAATAGATAAATGAGGCTGTCAACTGAGGCAGAAATTTGCAGGTTTCTGATTTGTAAAAAATGTTTCAGGTTTTCACTCTCAGTCACACTTTTCTAATAGAAAAAACAACAAAATTGGATGTTCTATGTCCATAACAATGCTTAAACCACATCAGGAGACCACTTTAAGGTCTGGGAATTGTATTCTTTGTTGTGTAGTTACCGTTTAATTTAAGTGTAAGGCACCTAGCACTGCTGTTTGGTTAGCAGTGTTTCTGTAGCACATGACATGAGATGTTGTTTACAAAACAAATGGCCACTGGATTGATGCAAATAATCATGATATAATTCTTCCAGGTAGGCAAAGACTGACTACTTTGTAGCTAGTTAACATTTAATTGAGAAGGTTTTTGGGAAAGCCTTTCCATCTACCAGAAGACGGTTAGGTCTATCATTAGCATCGCTATATTTTTCCTGTTCCTTACATTTTACTTCATGACATATTATGAGGCATGTCTTGCCTTGCTTCATAGTAGCCTATAGCCAAAATCCCACCATAAAAACGTGGAGACAATTATTTTATAAAGACTTCCTCATATACGTTCTCCTGTTCTATTGGTTTTCTTTAAACTTTCTTTCATTGTCTAGCAGCCAAAGGCATGATCCTAGTCATATTAGCAACCCATGATAGTTGTTCAGTGGAGGCTGCTGAGGGGAGGACGGCTCATAATAATTGCTGGAACGGAGCAAATGGAATGGCATCAAGCACATGGAAACCATGTGTTTGATGTATTTGATCCCATTCCACTAATTCCGCTCCATCCATTACCACAAGCCCGTCCTCCCCAATTAAGGTACCACCAACCTCCTGTGTAGTTGTTGCATCTTTAGAGCTCCCCTCTTTCTAAATTTCTATCTCTGTCTATGAAACTGCTTGCATGTGCAGGTGGTGCACATTTTAGAATGGTGTTTTCCTGTAAATTGCATTTTGGAACATTGGCATGTAGGCCTACGCCATGTGCACAATGCTGCACCTAAAATGTGAAGAAATAATTGTTCATCAACATTTTAAGCTAAACATTCTGATATGTTCCATTAACCTTATTCATTGACATGGAATATACCTCCACTAGACCACTACACTAGGCTACTTTGAAACGCATCGTGGGGATTAAGAAGTGAGTATATGCAATGCCCATTGAAAAATAATCTGATGTATACCCTCCACTACATCACTGACAACACGTATAGTGGCAGGTGTACAGAGACTGCTTGCATTACACACGTTATTACACGCTGACGTTCGTCATGGTGTATACTTTTTAACCATGAAACAAATACAATTGTATTTGTCACATGCGTTGTAAACAACAGACTAACAGTGAAATGCTTCCTTCCGGGCCCTTCCCAACAATGCAGAGAGAAAACAAAGGTAAATAATAGCGAAATAATAACAAGATGAATAAATACACAATGAGTAACGATAACTTGGCTATATACACGGGGTACCAGTACCGAGTCCATGTGCAAGGGTATGAGGTAGTTGAGGTAGATATGTATTTATAGCAGTGGGGAACCGTGAGGGCCTTCTAGGCCTTCAGATAAATGTATATATTTTTTAATTTCTCTCATCTTTACAATAATTTTTATGATCTTCTGATTTCATCTCTTCAGTTTGTGTTGGAAAGAGAAAGGTAATACTGAAGAGAAAAAAATATCAGGATTTTTCTTTGGTGGTCTCTGGGTAGAGAACTCTAGCTAGCACAGCCAGCCATTGGCTAGGCCTTCAGAAGCTGGACAGAATTCCTCTGCCATTCACCTGTATTAGAGCAGAATTGTGGAGTGACAGTGGAATGAAACATTCACATTTTGATTTGCAATGGGTGGGACACAGTGCTTAATTTGTAAATTAATTTGTAAAACAAAAAGTGAGCGCTAGAGTGGGGTGACCGACCTGGGGAGTTCTGAGGTAGCGGAACGCATGAGAAAAAAAAAAATCACATTTAGAATAAAGCATTGCATGCATATCATCGCATTTGCGTAGTGGCACTTATTGAAGTTGCACATATTGGGAAAATTTTTAGTAGCCTAGGGTCCACAAACATGTAAATGTTGGCCTTTTATAAACGCTTTCATGCAATTCTACGTCATTTACATGACTCTTTTTTAATACCGCACAAATTATCGAAATGCCAGGCTACTTTGACACTGACAAATTGATAATCTGAGATCAATAAAAACGACAACGTCTTGAATCCATCAATAGCCTAGGCCTAGGTGTGAGGAGACATATAGGCCTAGGTGTGAGGAGACATATTGTAGGCTATATGAGGAGGAAATTATAGTCCTAAAAATGCTTTCCAGTTTCACTGACTCACCCAATGATGCGCAGCTCACTCGCTGGTGATGGCCGATGTGCTCGTGCCAAAAGCCAATCTCTCTCTTATCAAATATTTTGGTAGCCTACAGCATAGTCTTCTCTTTTCAGCAGGAGCCATTTACTTTCCAAACTGTGTTTCCCCTCGATTGTATTTGAAATATGGCGAAATGCCTGTTTTGTCTGGGTGCTGTTGTTTCTCAGACAGATTTGCAGCGCGTTCCCGACTGTAGGCTATTCCTTGTTATTGGGATACAATCCACAGCTATTGATCCTCTGTCGCTAAATTATAGGCCTTCTCGTGGTGTATTTCATTTATTTCTGAACAGACAGCAGTAATTCTATAACTTTGGCAAATGTATTTAAATGTATCAGGGGTCCTGCAGTTCGTTCAGAACCCTTCGTGTGGCTATGATTCTATAAGGAAATAAATGATGAAGTGCAACACTGGAGAGATGAGAGTTGCAGGCTCATGTCTATCAGAGTAGAAATAGGGAGCGAGATCATAGAACGTGAATCTCATTCTAGTTATGGGAGACATAATGATGGGCTTCTCACACAGCCAACGCCAAGCGTTGGTCTCAAACATAGGTTAATTACAATGTTGCGCAAACCATAAACCCGGGCCAGCCCAACCCAAATCAACTCTTAGAATATTAGGCCCGGGCTTAAAATTAACTTTTCACATTACGTTGTTTTGTGAGGGCAGGAGAATTAACTAAGAGGCAACTCGAATGAACTTTGATCGCGGTTATTCTAATTTTTACATTGCAAAAAGTGCCAATTATTTTTCATGCCAGGAGAGGTACTGGATCCGGCCAAATAGGTTCCAGAACAAAACAGTTCAAAACTGAGAGGTTTAAGCACTGGTGGGACCGTAAAAAAAAAAAAAAAGTGACAATACTGTGCAACTGTTGCCCGCAATTCGGCGTTCCTACATTTGGGCATTCCTGCACCCCCCTCGAGCACCCCATTGGTTCCTGCAAAGGACACAGTATATCAGTTGCCCCCCGCCTCATGCTAGCACAGCAGGCGGGAGGCTGCAACACCGTGTGCTAGCTAACTAACTAACTTGCTAATTAACGACACCGTGTGCAAGCTTGCTAGTTAGCTAACTAGCACATGCTATCTCATCCGCCTCACGCCTGCTGTGTACTGGAGCAAACCGTGCCCAACAGGCGGGGGTGAAGGACACTGTCTACCGGTCATCACCGCCTGGGGCGACACAGTGTACTAGCTAGCTTGATTGTTAGCGACACCATGTGCTTGCTAGTTGGCTAGCTAGCACACAGTGTCACTCCCGCCTACTGTGTACCGGAGTCCTCCTTAGGACTAGCTGGCTAAGCTAGCACACAGTGTCCTTAAACTTTAGATGACAAAGTGTAATGAGCCTGATAAAATAACTGGTTTGTTAATTTCATTTTGGAAATTAAATGGTTGTGCTTTTGTATTGTTAGGATTTTATGTGGCCTAATAAAGTAAATAGGCTGAGTATTCTTCAACATTATTTGATGCTGTGTGTGACTGCTGTCAGTCGTGCCTATTGACCAAAACTGGCTCTTCTTCAGTGCATGGAGTGCACAGGTATTACGGTCGCTATCCTTTCAGCACCAAGAGCATGTTACCTCTGATGTGACACTTGTTGTCCCTATTGGTGATAGTGTTGTTAGGCTACTATAGGTTGTGTAAACAGTGTGTTTTTTGTTTTGCTGGTCGCATTATTGTATGCTGTGTGTCACATGTTGTGTCCATACCGGTTCTGTCTCTGTGTGTGCTGCAACCCGAAGCGCGGCCAGGCCTGTTTGATTAAATCCCCCTTCACTAGAATGGTCCGACTCCAGAATATATAATGTCGGGCGCAATAAATTATGCTATGTTTTCTGTTATTTTCTTGATTTTTGAGATTGATACAACGTATTGGAAGATTTTTGGTCCCTCTGAAGGCCTAGGTCCTATAGTCACGGTTCGCCACTGACTTATAGGTAGGGATAAAGTGACTAAGCAACAGGATAGATAAACAGTAGCAGCAGCTTGTGACATCGGAGTTAAATTATATGTAATGGAAGATAACCGAAGGGTGTGTATCGTACCTGATCACTCTCGACGCTACAATCAAAGACTCAAGAAGGTTTAGTTACCAGTATCTTTGTTACAATGTAACAACAAACGTACGCTTAATGGCAGCCGCAGCACTGAACGTCGGTCGGTCCTACAGTGCAGCACTACAAATATCCCCACCGAATCTCTTGCACAGAAGGGTTCCATTTGAGTCCTGCACTCAAACAACATGTAGCCTACAGTGTAATGTTTGTTGTGTTGATCCTTTGCATAAATGTATTATAATCCTGAGGATGGACACAAAGTTACAGGACGTTCAAAATAGATTGTAGAGAATTCATTCTGAATTGTGACAAATAACTTTTATTTGTATGCCATCTAATGTTGGGATAGCCCAAGATGTATTTACATGAGCCTGTCTTAAGGTTCAAGGACCTTGTATGTTATTTTAGAGGTAGACTGGATCGATTCTCAATTGCGATACGGTTCTAGAAACATAAAGCCCTTTACCTTAATATAACCTCAAAATAATTTCACAAATGCAAAATATGCACTTACTGTACACTGTTTTAACCGGCTTTATCACAGTTGCAGCCGACAGTATTTTTCAGTGACAACATTTCTAGTGGCCTTTTTCCACTACACACACAGGTGTTCAGAGCACGATAGATAACTAATTAGCACAGGTGGTCTTCCTCTGTCTTCCATAAACATGCGCTGTAACATGGAGATATGGCCGTGTGGGAACACTAACCCTAAAAAAGTGTATCAATTTAACATTTTTGTTTTTTAAACTTATTGCTTGCTGATATGAAAGATAAGGTCCTTATGTTTCCAAAACTGTACTGCAGGCGATGCGTGTTAACGTCAGGGCTCTTTAACAAAACCCAGTGCAGAAGACGCCTTCGCCCAATGACTTATGTGTAATGTAATGGAACGGAGTGTTTCTTAGAACTAAGAATACTTATTAGCTTATTTCCCCCTACACATTTTTGAGATGATCACATCATTTGGAATATATTTTAATTTAAAAGAGCAGACATTGACTGATACAAACATGAGGTCATACATTTTACATTGGCATAAAGAAAGCAGAGACATTGCACATCACCAGTCTTTCCAACAGCCAATTCTTCATTAGCCTAGGCTCCAGGCTTCACACTCAAAGGTGAGGTGAAAGGCTGTGGCAGAGGCTACATCTTCATTGACTAAAACCAGTCTGTTTTGAGGCTGGTGTAGCTTTCGAGGATATCTATTCCAAGGACATCAAGAGCCAAATGCTTTTGAGGTCAATACAGAGTGTAACCGGTGGGAATCACCAGTGACCGCTGCTTCTTCCACCATCTCCTGTATTTGACTGGCTGTTCCTGTATCCTTCCCTGGCTGTGTGCACTTGGCTTTTCTAGCCTTTCTGGAAGAGCGGTACTGTTGGATGGCCTGTATGACATCTGGGGAAGTCCAGTGTTGATGGGTCAAGGCGTGCTGTAGGGTGAAGGGTCCGTCTCGAGTGCGGCGCACTCCCTTACATATGGCCGTGCTGCGGAGCTCCAAACCCATTTCATGCAGGATTCTGCACAGGTACCGCTGGGTTTCATTCAAACACTGCACCTCTGTGAGAGGGAGATAACAGGTTTATGAAATGTAGCAAACTGAATTAGCAAGTTTCTAGTTTTATTCGTTGTATGTACGGGATACGCATGGTATACATTGTCCAACGAAATGCTTACTTGCAGGTTCCTTCTCGACAATGGAATAACAATATGAAATAGTAAAAAAATAAGAATATGAATATAAAGAAAATGGCAGTAGAATAGAATAAACATTTTAGCATACAGTACCTTCGGAAAGTATTTCAGACCCCTTGACTTTTTCCACATTGTTACATTACAGACTTATACTACAATTGATTAAATGTTTATTTTCCCTCATCAATCTACACACACAATACCCCACAATGACAAAGCAAAAACAGGTTTTTATAAATTTTTGCAAATATTACATTTACATAAGTATTCAGACCCTTTACTCAGTACTTTGCTGAAGCACCTTTGGCAGCGATTACAGCCTAGAGTCTTCTTAGGTATGACGCTACAAGCTTGGCACACCTATATTTGGGGAGTTTCTCCCATTCCTCTCTGCAGAACATCTCAAGCTCTGTCAGGTTGGATGGGGAGCATTGCTGCACAGCTATTTTCAGGTCTCTCCAGAGATGTTCGATAGGGTTCAAGTCCGGGCTCTGGCTGGGCCACTAAAGGACATTCAGAGACTTGTCCCGAAGCCACTCCTGCGTTGCTTGGCTGTGTACTTAGGGTCGTTGTCCTGTTGAAAGGTGAACCTTCGCCCCAGTCTGAGGTCCTGAGCACTCTGGAGCAGGTTTTCATCAAGGATCTCTCTGTACTTTGCTCCGTTCATCTTTGCCTCGATCCTGGCTAGTCTCCCAGTCCCTGCCGCTGAAAACATCCCCACAGCATGATGCTGCCACCACAATGCTTCACCGTAGGGATGGTGCCAGGTTTCCTCCAGACGTGACGCTTGGCATTCAGGCCAAAGAGTTCAATCTTGGTTTCATCAGACCAGATAATCTTGTTTCTCATGGTCAGAGTCTTTAGGTGCATTTTGGTAAACTCCAAGCGGGCTGTCATGTGCCTTTTACTGAGGAGTGGCTTCCGTCTGGCCACTCTACCATAAAGGCCTGATTGGTGGAGTGCTGCAGAGATGGTTGTCCTTCTGGAAGGTTCTCCCATCTCCACAGAGGAACTCTAGAGCTCTGTCAGAGTGACCATTGGGTTCTTGGTCACCTCCCTGACCAAGGCCCTTCACCACAATTGCTCAGTTTGGCCGGACGGGCAGCTCTAGAAAGAGTCTTGGTGGTTCCAAACTTCTTCCATTTAAGAATGATGGAGGCCACTGTGTTCTTGTGGACCTTCAATGCAGCAGACATTTTTTGGTACCCTTCCCCAGATCTGTGCCTCGACACAATCCTATCTCAGAGCATTGAATTGAGCACTGGGCAATTCCACGGTAACAAGGGCTTATAAGTAAGCATTTCACTGTAAGGTCTACACCTGTTGTATTCGGCACGTGTGACGAATAAAATTGGATTTTATTTTAATATTTATACATGTATTGGGGAAGGGGGGGCAATTTTATAAATTAAATTGCGCACTGGGCAATTCCACGATAATAGAATAATACTGTATTTCAAACAAAAACCAATGATTGCAAAGTTAAACAAGCCATACAACTCTATGCACAATAACTACTTTTAACAATTTATACCAACAATTTTACAAAAGCACCTTTACTTTAAAAACACTGCAGATGCTAAGTTTGGTAACAGAATGACGGCACAAACAGCACAAACCGTTATTCTGTTACCAAACTTTGCATTTGCACTGTTCAAGTACATTTTATTTTGTAAAATGTTCAGTATAAATTGTTAAAAGTAGTTATTGTGCATAGAGTTGTATGCTTTAACTTTACAATCATTGGTTTTTGTTTGGCATACATTTTAAAGTGAAAAATCGGAGTCTCAGTGTCACTCTTACCGTGGAATTGCCCCTCTATTCAAGAATACCTGATACATACAGTGGGGGAAAAAAGTATTTAGTCAGCCACCAATTGTGCAAGTTCTCCCACTTAAAAAGATGAGAGGCCTGTAATTTTCATCATAGGTACACGTCAACTATGACAGACAAATTGAGAGAAAAAAAATCCTGAAAATCACATTGTAGGATTTTTAATGAATTTATTTGCAAATTATGGTGGAAAATAAGTATTTGGTCACCTACAAACAAGCAAGGTTTCTGGCTCTCACAGACCTGTAACTTCTTCTTTAAGAGGCTCCTCTGTCCTCCATTCGTTACCTGTATTAATGGCACCTGTTTGAACTTGTTATCAGTATAAAAGACACCTGTCCATAAACTCAAACAGTCACACTCCAAACTCCACTATGGCCAAGACCAAAGAGCTGTCAAAGGACACCAGAAACAAAATTGTAGACCTGCACCAGGCTGGGAAGACTGAATCTGCAATAGGTAAGCAGCTTGGTTTGAAGAAATCAACTGTGGGAGCAATTATTAGGAAATGGAAGACATACAAGACCACTGATAATCTCCCTCGATCTGGAGCTCCATGCAAGATCTCACCCCGTGGGGTCAAAATGATCACAAGAACGGTGAGCAAAAATCCCAGAACCACACGGGGGGACCTAGCGAATGACCTGCAGAGAGCTGGGACCAAAGTAACAAAGCCTACCATCAGTAACACACTACGCCGCCAGGGACTCAAATCCTGCAGTGCCAGACGTGTCCCCCTGCTTAAGCCAGTACATGTCCAGGCCTGTCTGAAGTTTGCTAGAGTGCATTTGGATGATCCAGAAGAGGATTGGGAGAATGTCATATGGTCAGATGAAACCAAAATAGAACTTTTTGGTTAAAACTCAACTCGTCGTGTTTGGAGGACAAAGAATGCTGAGTTGCATCCAAAGAACACCATACCTACTGTGAAGCATGAGGGTGGAAACATCATGCTTTGGGGCTGTTTTTCTGCAAAGGGACCAGGACGACTGATCCGTGTAAAGGAAAGAATGAATGGGGCCATGTATCGTGAGATTTTGAGTGAAAACCTCCTTCCATCAGCAAGGGCATTGAAGATGAATTGTGGCTGGGTCTTTCAGCATGACAATGATCCCAAACACACCGCCCGGGCAACGAAGGAGTGGCTTCGTAAGAAGCATTTCAAGGTCCTGGAGTGGCCTAGCCAGTCTCCAGATCTCAACCCCATAGAAAATCTTTGGAGGGAGTTGAAAGTCCGTGTTGCCCAGCGACAGCCCCAAAACATCACTGCTCTAGAGGAGATCTGCATGGAGGAATGGGCCAAAATACCAGCAACAGTGTGTGAAAACCTTGTGAAGACTTACAGAAAACGTTTGACCTGTGTCATTGCCAACAAAGGGTATATAACAAAGTATTGAGAAACTTTTGTTATTGACCAAATACTTATTTTCCACCATAATTTGCAAATAAATTCATTAAAAATCCTACAATGTGATTTTCTGGATTTTCTTTTCTCATTTTGTCTGTTATAGTTGACGTGTACCTATGATGAAAATTACAGGCCTCTCATCTTTTTAAGTGGGAGAACTTGCACAATTGGTGGCTGACTAAATACTTTTTTCCCCCACTGTATCTAATGCAATGAGGTGTCTGTTGCAGTTCATCAGTTAGAAAGAGCCATGTGCCAAGTCCTATTGCATGTGAGTGTGTCCCTGCGTCTTTGTGTGTACTGTAACTATGTGTGTGAGCAAGAGTCTATCTAGCAGGGTGTTGTACAGTACAGGTGAAACTGGACGTGGTAATATATTTACCCAAGGTAAAATGGGGTGGTTGGAAGTGTAATAAACGCAGGCCTGTCATGATAGGGGGAGACTTCCCGTCGGGACGCAGTTCCCCCTTCACAGCCAGCTCATAGGCCTCCTGGGTGCTCATGTCCACCTTAGAGTACCTGCCAGAACAAACAGTTATCCTACACTGCTCCACACACTGGGTATAGCAAAAATAACAAATACGCTTGCGCTGGCACTGACAACTGACAGGCACTTATATCACAGCATTAGTTTGGTAAGTAATGGGGTTGAATTGGTACAGGTCATGGGAATGCTCTAATTGCAATTTGCCTTGGCTCAGTGAGTAGATAAAGTAAGGTGAACAGAGAGGGATAAGAGGTGGACCACAGAACTAGAATGAATGGTGGACGTACGTGAGCAGGGCCTTCTGATTGGATCCTTGCATCATGGCCAGGACTCTCTCCAGCTTGTCCCGTGTGATGTGATCTGGAAGGCACGTCAAGGGTTGTTACACAGTCAAGATAATGTTTTATAGATTCTGTATTTATTTCAGTAAGGTGCAAGGCAAAAAAAAAAAGCGCTGATGTACCTACCATATGTGGTCCTCTCTATGAGGCGGCCTGTGTGAGAGAAATTATCTGTGGCCATCCCGAATTCACCTTCCAATGTATAATCCTGAATAAATTACCAAAAGTTGAACAAGAAATGCATCATGGCAATCTCAGTATTCTATCACAACGATCCCATATGGATTTTCCACATCCAATAAACTGCATGCTCTTTTACTTGTAACATAAATAGAGATGAACGCTTACTCTAGTGACATGAGATCTGTAGAGATCAGTCAGAGCCTTGTTTGCCTGGCCAACACCTAGAACTGAGGAGAAACAGATGCCATGGTGATGTAATGATCAAACATCACATGAAAGGTGAAAACTTAATCAGTGCAGTAATGCAGGCCCGATGTGGTTCAAATGAGCAAATCCCTCAGCAAAATATATTTTTTGTAATTTGGAGGACATGACAGAAAGCCCCACCTAGAACTCCAGAGGAGAATATGTCCAGTCGATGTCCCACTCCTACTCCTATGTGCTGGAACTCAGGTCCACACACTGATAAGAAAACAGTAACACAGTTATTGAATTCACACAAATCCAGCATCATTACGATATGGAGAGCCTCACCTTTAAAATACAGTGAAACGCATTTATAGGTTGTGTAAGGGCCGGGTCATGAAAGACTTGGAAGTGATTGTACAGTGAACCTGAACATACCCAGAGGGTGATGAGCCAGAGCTGGGACAGAGGCTGCAGACAGGATGAGCTCATTTGAACCCTCAGCCACAACACTGGTGGGCTCAGCCAGGAACTGGACCCTCTGACGAGGGGCTGGAGGAGGGGCAGCATTTATCCCTTTGGAGAGAGAGAGAGTGCATCAACATCATCATCATCGGTCCCGTATGACTCAGTTAGTAGAGCATGGCGCTTGCAATGCCAGGGTTGTGGGTTCGATTCCCACGGGGGACCAGTACGAAAACATTTATGAAAATGTATGCTCTCTCGCTACTGTAAGTCGCTCTGGATAAGAGCGTCTGCTAAATGACTAGAAATGTAAGATTTAAAATCATTCTCTAATTTCCTTCAACTGCATTGCTGTGAATGAACTGGACAGGTGACAGGAAATCCCGTGCAGTCTTTCTTGTCAAGTCTGGTCAGGTGGTAAACCCATAAGGTAATAACAGCTGAAGCAATTCATCTAGTCTGATTTCCACAGGAAAGTATTGTTTACCCAACTTTTTAGAAAGCCGGTAGGTAATGGTATATTCTGAATTATGAGAGGATCCACTTTATTTTGTCGATTTTTTGGAAGATTGAAATCTGAATTTAAAAAAAACAATTCACACAAAAAAAACGTTACCTCGGTTACGAACTCAACCATATATACTACTAAAAATGACCGGTTCTCTAAAATGTCGGGTAAACGATACTTTCCTGTGAATAATTTGTCTCAAATTTCGAGCAGCTGACGGACAAACCGCACAGACAACAGGTAAAGTTAGCGTAAGTTTAAATGTAATTTTATTCAACATTCTGGCATTTAAGGAAAATTTCCTCGATTTTGCAGGCATTATTTCCAGGCTGTATATACCAATTAATTGTGTATTACAGCCTGATTAATCAGACTACAATTAAGCATGCACTTATCAAAACAACAACATGAGGGATTATGTTGCAATTGCAGTGCAAAAGTAAAGGCTAGTGTCAGTACAGTACCTTTGAGCAGGTTTGTCTCGACGGTATCCCGGACGAGTTTCCAGTGGACACCGGGGGGTTTGTAAATGGAAAACAATCCTTCTAGTTTATGAAACACGCGAACAGATGACGTCGTCATGACGCTAGATCTCAATATATCTCGTCCAGCATTTCTTACCCATAAACTGTGTAAAATAAGGGCGTTACTTCGTCAAATTTCACATAAACGCAGTTCCAACCTGTCAATATTTCGCATCTCGACAATGTCAACATGTGCAACTATTGCGCACGCGCAGATGTGAGTTACATATTCCAGAACACTGCCACCTAACGAGCTGGAGTATTTATCTGAACCTAAACCCAAATAAAGAAATGTTCTATTAATGTTTTCAATATAATAGAATAAAACTTTTTTGTCCATCCAGAATGGAAATTTTTCTTTGGCATCACCTTCCATTAAAAGGATCACACACACATACATTCTCACACCGTAAACCAGTCATGTTGCATACAGTCTTGGTCAAAAGTTTTGAGAATGACACAAATACTAATTTTCACAAAGTCTGCTGCCTCAGTTTTGATGCTGGCAATTTGGATATACTCCAGAATGTCATGAAGAGTGATCAGATGAATTGCAATTAATTGCAAAGTCCCTCTTTGCCATGAAAATGAACTTAATCCCCAAAAAACATTTCCACTGCATTTCAGCCCTGCCACAAAAGGACCAGCTGCCATCATGTCAGTGATTCTCTCGTTAACACAGGTGAGAGTGTTGACGAGGATAAGGCTGGAGATCACTCTGTCATGCTGATTGAGTTAGAATAACAGACTGGAAGCTTTAAAAGGAGGGTGGTGCTTGAAATCATTGTTCTTCCTCTGTTAACCATGGTTACCTGCAAGGAAACACGTGCCGTCATCATTGCTTTGCACAAAAAGGGCTTCACAGGCAAGGATATTGCTGCTTGTAAGATTGCACCTAAATCAACCATTTATCGGATCATCAAGAACTTCAAGGAGAGAGGTTCAATTGTTGTGAAGAAGGCGTCAGGGCGCCCAAGAAAGGCTCATGTGTCTCCTAAAGTTGATTCAGCTGCGGGATCGGGGCACCACCAGTGCAGAGCTTGCTCAGGAATGGCAGCAGGCAGGTGTGAGTGCATCTGCACGTACAGTGAGGCGAAGACTTTTGGAGGATGGCCTGGTGTCAAGAAGGGCAGCAAAGAAGCCACTTCTCTCCAGGAAAAACATCAGGGACAGACTGATATTCAGCAAAAGGTACAAGGATTGGACTGCTGAGGACTGGGGTAAAGTCATTTTCTCTGATGAATCCCCTTTACGATTGTTTGGGGCATCCGGAAAACACCTTGTCCGGAGAAGACAAGGTGAGCGCTACCATCAGTCCTGTGTCATGCCAACAGTAAAGCATCCTGAGACCATTCATGTGTGGGGTTGCTTCTCAGCCAAGGGAGTGGGCTCACTCACAATTTTGCCTAAGAACACAGCCATGAATAAAGAATGGTACCAACACATCCTCCAAGAGCAACTTCTCCCAACCATCCAAGAACAGTTTGGTGACGATCAATGCCTTTTCCAGCATGATGGAGCACCTTGCCATAAGGAAAAAGTGATAACTAAGTGGCTCGGGGAACAAAACATCGACATTATGGGTCCATGGCCAGGAAACTCCCCAGACCTTAATCCCATTGAGAACTTGAGGTCGATCCTCAAGAGGCAGGTGGACAAATAAAACCCCACAAATTCGGACAAACTCCAAGCATTGATTATGCAAGAATGGGCTGCCATCAGTCAGGATGTGGCCCGGAAGTTAATTGACAGCATGCCAGGGCGGATTGCAGAGGTCTTGAAAAAGAAGGGTCAACACTGCAAATATTGACTCTTTGCATAAACTTAATGTAATTGTCAATAAAAGCCTTTGACACTCATGGGATGCTTGTAATTATACTTCAGTATACCATAGTAACATCTGACAAAAATATATCATAACACTGAAGCAGCGAACTTTGTGAAGACCAATACTTGTGTCATTCTCAAAACTTTTGACCACGACTGTACACTGAAAACATAGAGGACATTGATACATTCACTCACAACTGACTGCTGTCCCAACTGCAATGGATAGATAAGTACATATACTGATACAATTTACTTTTCATTTAGTAGTTCAACAGCACAAGGAACGAATGAATGTTTGGAACATGTTCTTCTTGGCCATGGGCATTCTGAAGTGCCGGCCAGAGGGAAGCCTCTCCAATTGAGGGTGTAGAGGGTGGGAGGGGTCGCCAACAAAAGCCAGTGCCTTCTTTTTGGTTGCCTTGTGGAACAGACTGCTCAAATGTGCCTGTGGTCGACCAATTACTTTGCTGGCTGTGTTTACTATTCTGCTCAGTTTGCTTTTGCTCCTCACGCTCAGATTACCATACCAGACTGTCATATTGAACGTGAGGATGCTCTCCACCAAGCTGCTGTACACCCTCTCCAGAACATCCTGGCTGACCCCAAACCCCTTCAATTTCCTGATCAAAAACAGGCGCTGGCTTGCTTACAGTTGGCATTCTCTGTAAAACTCAGCTTGTTATCAATTTGTGTCCCTAGGTATTTGAAACACTCAACCACCTCCACTGGTTGGTCGTTCAGAGAGAGTGGTTGGGACATTGGCAAGTTGTTGCCATTGATGATGAGCTCCTTTGTCTTTTCCACATTGATGTGGAGGGCACTTGACCTGCACCATTCTTGAAGGTTGATGGTCTGTTTAAAATAGCTGTCCCCATCTGACGTAGCATCTTTAAAAAAGAGTCCCACCAGAGCCATGTCATCCACCTTCCTGAAAAGGCTCACATTGTTTCCTTGGATCTTCATCTCATTAGTGTAGATAGAGAACAACAACGGTGAAAGGACACACCCATGGGGCGCCCCTGCATTCAGGGTCAGTTCATCAGAGAGGGCCCCATTCATGAGGACCCTCTGCGGGCGGTCAGTTAAAAAGTCCTTGATCCAACCTGTGAGGCCTCCGTTTACGTTCAGGTCCAGTAGTCGTTTCAGGAGTGTGTGTATTTGCACTGTATTGAAAGCTGAACTAAAATCAATAAATAAAATGTGTTCATACGATTTTGCATGTTGAAGGTGACTAGCCACCATGTTCACCAAGGTCAGGGTAGCATCCTCAGTCCCCCACTGTGAACTGACCCTGAATGCAGGGGCGCCCCAGGGGTGTGTCCTTTCACAGTTGTTGTTCTCTATCTACACTAATGAGATGAAAATCCAAGGAAACAATGTGAGCCTTTTCAGGTAGGCGGATGACATGGCTCTGGTGGGACTCTTTTTGAAAGATGTTACGTCAAATGGGGACAGCTATTTTAAACAGACCAACAACCTTCAAGAATGGTGCAGGTCAAGTGCCCCCCACATCAATGTGGAAAAGACAAAGGAGCTGATCATCAATGGCAACAACTTGCCAATGTCCCAACCACTCTCTCTGAACAACCAACCAGTAACGGGTCCAGTTGATCTGCTATGGACAGGGTAAGGTGCTTACTAACAACCCTTCCCATGCATTTGGCCAGAAGGGGTGTGAGGGCCACAGGTCGAAAGTCATTTGGTGATTTGGTCCCTGACTTCTTAGGCACCAGTACAATGATCGACACCTTCCAGGAGTTTGGCACTGTACAGGTGCTCAGCAGGAGTTGAAACAGTCGTGTGAAGACTCCCTTGAGCTGGTTGGCGCAGACCTTCAGTACTTTGCCCTGTAGTCCGTCTGGTCCGGTGCTTTGTGTGGCTTAATATGTGACAAGCATGAGGCCACCTCGTTCTCTGTTATCTGGACAGGAGAGGATTTGGGGATGTTCTCACATATTTGTTTACATTCATCTTTAAAATCGACGGTGTCAAATCTTCCATAAAAACAGTTAAGGTCGTTTACAAAGGATGAACAGTCTGACATTTTATCGTTCTCTCTTTTCCTTTCTCTTCCCATCATTGCATTAAGCCCCTCCCATGCTTGTCTTGGATTGGCTGTACAGAACCTCTGCTCCACTTTATCCTTGAAGTCCTTTTTAGCGTTCTACATTTTTGACCTGAATTCATTTTCTTTCTCCTTTACAGCATAAGTATCTCCTTTCAGGAACGCAAACTTCCTTTCATTGAGGCACATTTTCTAGTCCTTAGACACCCAGGGCTTGCTGTTGGGAAATACTCAGACAGTTTTTGTGTTAATGACAGTATCCTCACAGAACTGGATGCATGATGTGATGCTGTCTGTCAACTCGTGGGGATCCCTGCACGAGTCAAAGAACACCTCCCAGTCTGTGACGTCGAAGCAATCCTTGAGCTCCTCCCTACTCTCCTCTGTCCATACCTGAATGGATTTCTCTACAGGTTTTCCGCGTTTCACCTGCTGCCTGTATCTCGGTAGGAGATGGATAACGTTAGGGTCTGATTTCCCGATGGGTGCTCTGCACACTGCCTTGTATGCGCATCTACAGTGCCATAACACTGGTCCCAGGATGCGAGTTGGACAGGTATTTGTATTTGTATTTATTAGGGATCCCCATTAGCTGCTGCCAAGGCAACAGCTACTCTTCCTGGGGTCCAAACATATTAAAGCACTTACATTACATATAAAACAAAATATAAAACAGTACATCATATGACATTATTACACCACTACCTATCTACAATACAAAATGTTTAATACTACCATACAACAATATCACAATGTGTGCGTATGCATGTGTCTACACCCTTGTGTGTGTCTCCTCACGGTCCCCGTTATTCCATAAGTTTGTTTTAACCTGTTTTTTAAAGCTGATTCTACTGCTTGCATCAGTTACCTGATGTGGAATAGAGTTCCATATAGTCATGGCTCTATGTAGTACTGTGCGCCTCCCATAGTCTGTTCTGGACTTGGGGACTGTGAAGAGACCTCTGGTGGCATGTCTTGTGGGGTATGCATGGGTGTCTGAGCTGTGTGCCAGTATTCCAAACAGACAGCTCTGTACATTCAGCTTGTCAACACCTCTTACAAAAACAAGCAGTGATGAAGTCAATCTCTCTTCCACTCTGAGCCAGGAGAGACTGACATGCATGTCATTAATGTTAGCTCTCCGTGTACTTTTAAGGGCCAGCCGTGCTGCCCTGTTCTGAGCCAACTGCAATTTTCCCAAGTCCCTCTTTGTGGCACCTGACCACACTACTGAACCGGTCTAGGTGCGACAAAACTAGGGCCTGTAGGACCTGCCTTGTTGATTGTGTTGTTAAGAAGGCAGAGCAGCGCCTAA